GTGAGGGCGGCGTTGGGGTGTGAAGCCCTCTGTGCCCCCTCCCTCCACGGGGGGTGGGGGGGGCAGCAGGAAACAGGCTCCGCGAGAAGAGGAACCTGCACGCCCACGGGGAAGCCAGTCTCTGCTCACGGGCCGAGCTGCCTGCTCAGCCGTGTCCCTGCGCCCGCAAAGCCACCGGAAGAGGATGTGAAACGGCGCCGGAGCCGGAGCCGGTGCTGGCGGGGCCGGGCGGCAGGGCGGCACGCGGGGCCCCAGACGCCCCAGCAGCAGCGCCCCCCATGTGCCGACAGGCCGGCTGCGGAGCCTCTGCCGGAGCCCCTCTCCCCGCGGCCCCCGTGGTCCTGCGCGCCCCGCCGGCTGCCCGCCAGGGTCCCAGGAGGGTAAGGAAGCAGCCAGCTCTGGCTCTGGGTTTGGGGACCGGAGCTCTGCATTCTCCCTGCCCCCAGCCTCAGTCTTTCCATCTGTCAAATGGGCGGGCTCGCAGCAAAAGGAGGGCAATGGAGACAGGTCCTGAGGTGCTCTTAAAGGTGTTCGTTGAACTGCTGCTGCCCTCCGACGGCTCGCCTGTCGGGCTGCGTGTGTGGCTTTTTGGAAGTAACGGTAATTGTGGCGACAGTATTATGTTTTTTGCTTCCCTACTTGGCCCAGTGGACAGTTGCCACCTGGTTTGGTTCTGCAGTTTAGCATGAGGTCCCGTGTCGGGTGCCAGCGGTGGAGGTGCCCTGAGCAGAGGTGGGGGGCGGGGCCGGAGCACGCGGGACCCTCGGCGCTGCCCCCTCGCGCCCGGCGGGTTCTCGCTCACCGGGCAGTCCTCCGGCTGAGCTGTTCTGGTCTCGGTGACTTGTACCCGCCACTTTCTGACCCGGGTGTGACCTCCAGAGGCGGGGGGCCGGGGGCAGGGCCTGGGGTGCTGGAGGAGACAGCTGGGTGCACCCCGAGAGCGGGACGGAGCCCCGCCGCGTCCTCGGCTGGCCCGGCCGGTCCACGCGGGAATTCCTGGCCTGCCCGTCACGGGAGCAGGTATGACAGCCATGTGGGTGACTCCGGGTCCAGGCACTCAGGTGCTCAGCTCCCCTGGGGCCGACGGGCGGACGGGCAGACGGGCGGACGGGCAGACGGCTTCGCGAGGAGGCCGCTCGCACCGCCATGGCCCGGGCAGGCAGGCCCGCCGTGCCCAGGGGCAGGAAAGGCTGGGTGTTCCTCGCCTGCGTCTCCGTGGTGACTGCCAGGAGGTGGGCCGCCCGCCGCCCTAGCCCTCCTGTCCCGAGCCCCACGCCCCGGCCAACGCCTCTGCCGGCCCCGGCCCCCGAGGTGAGTTTCAGGGCGACGGGTGCCTCTGTGAGAGGCGGGGTGCTCCCCCCCCCCCCCCGTGGGAACTGGCTGGAGGAGTTTGGCTGGAAGCCGCTACAGGGGAGTCTCCACCTGCCACCTGGGTGTGTGTGTGTGAGGGGGGCTCCCTGTGGTGCCCAGTGCCTGCCCTCCGGCCCGGCTGCCTCTCCTGGCGGGTGGGTGGCCCTGGGTCCGCGGCTCCTGTGCAGGGGGTGGCGTCTCCGATTACAGAGGCTTTGGTGCTGCATTTGGTCGCCCGCTCTGCTGAGAACCCGAGAGCCAGCTGGCGGGGTCACTGCTGTTGCTGTTGCTCCATCTTACTGATGGACATACGGAGGCTCAGGAAGGGGAAACTGAGGCCGGGAGGTGCGGGGTGGCCTTGAACACAAGCCTCGGCTCCAGTTCTTGAGAGAGAGTTTCCCAGACATACGGGAAGAACGGTGCTGTCAGGACCGGGTTGTCCCAGCTCCACAGTGCAGGGGCCGCTGGCTGACACCAGCGAGGAGGGGAGGCCGGGCACGCTGGGTCCCTCGGGCGTGATGGGTGCTTCTCAGGCAGGTATGGCGCCTCCCGGTCAGTGCCCCCCCCCCGCCCCGGGGCAGGTTTGGGGCTGAGACCAGGACCTGCGGGCCCCTGTCTGTTATTCTCCGTGTCAGGCTCAGGGGCAAGGGTCTCAGTCTGTCTGTCTGTGTCCCCTCTGCTTCTCTCCCTCTCTCCTCCCTGCCTTCCACCTCGGGCTGTCACCTGTGGGACCGGTGACCAGGTCAGGGCCCGCTGGCGTGGGGGGCACTGAGCCCTCCGGGCGGTGTGGGTCGGGGGACAGCCCTCAGGGCAGCCCTGTTCCCACTCTGTAAGGCAGTTGTCAGTGACCCCGGGCTGTGCGTTTGCTCTGAGTGTCCCCATCAACCTCGAGGGCAGAGGCAGGGCTGTGAGCGCCCCTTTGTGGGTGGCGGGGGTGGGGGGGAGAGAATGGGGGACAGCAGGGCCCACAGCGAGCTCCTGGCACCCCGAGCCTCGCACTGTCCGAGGCTCCGGGCGTTGGTGTCTCTTGTTCTGATTGTCCTGGGGCAGCCACGCCGGGCGAGGTCAGAGGTGGGTGGCGGTGGTGATGCCACACCCTCCACCAGGAAAGTCTCCTGGGGTCTGGAGGTGGCGTTTCCCGGCTGAGCCCCCCGGGCTCCGCGTCCTGCCGGAGCTCCCCGCCTTCCTGGCGGAAGAGCAGGCCCTGGAGGTTCCCAGAAACCTGGCGGGAGAGGAGGCGGGGCGGCCCCAGGAGCTCCCGGACCGGGCCCAGGTGTGTCACTCCTGCCAAGGTGTGTGCTCAGCCGCCCACAGAGGGCCTCCCGGCCGGCAGGCCAGGAATGGTGACGCGTGTGCGGGGAAGTGCCTGGGGAGCAGGGCGGGGCCACACCTCTTCGCGTCCTGGCTCTAAATATAGACCCCGGGAGGCGGGCCTCCGGGATGCCCTGTGCCTTCCTCCCCGAGGCCTGGCCCGGCCCCGGGCCTCTGGTCCTCGTGGGCACAGCACCCTCCGTGGCCTGGCCCAGCACAGGTGGGGGAGAGGATGGCTCAGGCCTGCGCTCAGCTGGCCCGCCCCGGAGCCCCGTCTGGCTCTGAGCCGCCCTGGGAGTCCTGCGGCACCCAGTCCGGTGCCGTCCGGGCGGGTGGAGGTGGGAAGTGTCCCCAGGCCCAGGACCATGGCAGGAAACCCTGGGGGTGCTGTAGTTCGGAGCGAGCCGGGCTGGGCCTGGCCAGAGACCCAGGGGTGCTGCCGGGGCCTCCCTGGCAGGCGGTCTGCCCAGGCTGTCTGCGGGCAGGTGGGGCGCGCTGCACGGCTCACGGCCTCTCTGGCTGCTTGTGTCAGCGGACGAGGTGGGATGGACGTGGGGAGAGAACGGGGCCCAGGTTTGGCCTGAGCACACCTTTCCCCTCCCCTGGGGCGGCTGCTCGGGGGGCAGGAGGGATGGGGGCCCAGCGGGGCCTGTGGCAAACCCAGACGTGCCCCGGCCGGAGCGACGGTGTGGCCAGCTCCCCCGGCCTCCTGCTCTACGGAAACGCGGCCTCGTGTGGCCAGCTCGTCCCAAGTTGCCGAGAAGCCAGAAATGTGGGTTTTTACGTGAAACCACCTGACCTTCCGCTGCTGGCTCCAACATGGGAAAACACTTTGCAAGCCAAACAGAACGCGGGGCGGGGCTTGGCGGGGTCTCTTCCCGGCGGCACCTGGACCAGGGCCTCCGCCTGGGACTGGTCTCTGCAGGCAGCGGGGCGCACGGGGGCATTGGGGGACCTGGGGCGGGTGCACCCCCAGGGAAAGGGTGGGAGCCTGGGACAGCTGGGGTCGGTGCCCTGAGCAGACAGAGGAGCAGAGGAGTGACCATTTATCACGGCGCACACGCCCCGCAGTGCTTTGCGCCCGGTTCCTCCTGCAGCCCCTCTGTGCCAGGCACGCCCCCTTTCCTCAGAGTGCCGCCCCTCAGCCTGCGGGGCTGGGGTCACACGGTGAGAAGGGGTGGGGCTGGGCTCAGACCCAGCTCTCCATGCCTGAACCTGCCTAGGCCACACCGCCACCCTGGGAACCGGGCACGTGTGTGTGTGTGTGTGTGTGTGTGTGCGTGCGTGCACGTGTGCACTCAGCTGAGCCGTGAACAGGCTCACCAGGACCCCGGGGGGCGGGGGGAGCCCCAAAGCCAGGGTCTGTGTAATGATGAACTGCCCACGCCTCACCTCCCCGCCTGCCGGGCACCCTCAAAGCCAGAGCGGTGGCGCGGGGGTGCCCCCCTCTGCGCCATGAGCTGCTCAGCCTCCGGGTGTCCCCCCGCCCCCCCGCCGTGAGCCTGCTTCCCGGCACCTCCCTGGGAGAGAAATCCCGGGAGCCCCGGTGGGTGCGGTTCGCTGGCAAGTTCTGAGAGCCGGGCCGAGAGGAGGGCCGAGGAGACACTTCAGCCGAGGGTCCCGCCCCAGCTTTGCTGCTCTTTGAGGGCGTCCTTCTCATGTGCCCCCACTCCCCTCCCCAGGGCAGGTCATGGAGCCTTCCCAACCCGCCTCCTAGGGACCTCCGCCCCAACCCATTTGGTAAAAACAGACAAAACCGGCACCGATCACAGGTGGCGATTATGCACGTGTTTTAGGAGGGCTGGGAAATTGAGAGAAGCCAGAGGGGAGAGTGGAGCTGCCAGAATAGCGCTGGGCTCACCGACGCGGGGTCCTGTCTGCAGGGGAGCAGCATCCGGGGCGCACGGGCTGCCCAGGGGCCGGTCTGTCCGCACGGGGTGCGGGACTGCGCTGGGCAGGGTGTACCCGAAGTTCCCGTAAACGTGCTCACAGAAACCCCTGTGCACGCCCGGACCGCCAGCTGAGGGTGAATGCCTAAGAGTGGGGTTGCCGAGCCAACAGGCATATCGTTTTTAATGTCCCAGTGGAGACTGCCAAACTGTTTTCCTCCACCTCCACCCCCACCCCACCGTCCGCCGTGCTCGGTGGGCGGAGGGTGGGAGCTGCGGGGCCCTCTGCCCATGGGTACCCGAGGCTGGGCGCAGGTGGGTGCCAGCATGTGCCTGTGGGATGTCCTGGGGCCCCGCCCCCGCAGCAGGCCCCGCCCCGCCGCAGACCCGCCCCCCGCAGGCCCCGCCCTCCAGCTCGGCCCCGCCCCCGCCGGCCCGCCCCCCGCATGACCTCAGCGGCCGGCGGGCGCAGAGCAGCAGCGCGGAGCCGCGGGGCCTCCGCCGCCGCCCGCCGCCCCGGGTCCCGCGGCCCGGCCGGCCGCCCGCGCCCGCGAGCCGCCCATGGTGCAGCGCATGTGGGCCGAGGCGGCCGGGCCCGCGGGCGGGGCCGAGCTGTTCCCGGGCTCCCGGCGGAGCCGCAGCGTGTGGGACGCCGTGCGCCTGGAGGTGGGCGGCGCCGGCCCGGTGGTGCTGCACAGCTTCACGCAGCTCGACCCCGACCTGCCGCGCCTGGAGGTGGGTGAGCGGGCCCGCGGGGGCGGGTGGGGCCGGCGCGCCTGGGGCCCGAGGGGTCCCTCTGCGGCCCCCCCCCCCCCCCGCCGTAGCCGAGGGCAGCGCGGTGGCCGGGATGGGCGGGGGTGGCGGTGGGGGCCGTCCCGGGTCCCCTGCCCCTCATCCGCCGCAGCGTTTGCCCCGGAGCCGGGGTGCCCGCCAGGTAGCCCTGCTTCCCGGCTGTCACCTCCCGGGCAGGGCCGGGCCGCTTCCTCTGGCTGCCAGCCCGGCGGGCACAGGCAGTGCGCTTCCCCGCCCAGGTGCCTAGGCTCAGGCGGGCAGACTCCTGGCATGGCTGCCCGGGGCGGCGGGCCCCCGGCGGCCTTGCGGACCCCCTCTGTAGGGCCAGAGGTGGAGCCGGGCTCAGGACTGCTCAGGGGGCCGGTGGAGGGGGAGCCGGCCGTGGGGCCAGGTGTCCGTCTGTCTGGCAGGGAGGTGGGACAAGGCCCTCCATGCCCAGAGGGGGACAGACTCACTGCTGCTTGGTTAGGAAGTGCCCTGCGCCGGCCCTGGCCCGTAGCTCAGGTGCCAAGGTTGAGGGTTCGATCTCTGGTCAGGGCACATGTAAGAACTGGCCAATGAATGCATACATAAATAGAGCAACAAATGATGTCTCTCTTCCCCTCTTCCTCTCTCTCTAAAACCAATAAATACACATTTAAAAAAAATAAAATAAAGGGAATGCCCCACCACCTTAGGTTTGGAAGGATTCAGAGACGGGGAGCTGTGCCTGTCTCGGGGTTCAGTGGGTCATGGGTCACACAGGTTGCGGGGAGCAGTACCTCCCTCCCGCCTGCCGGTGCACCTGCCCCCGCAGCAGAGGGAGCAGATCCAGGGACGCGCCCTCACCCACTCTGCCTGGGCACGGGCTGGACAGAGGCCAGCCCCCGGGTCGAGGGGCTCAGCATGTCACGGCCGAGCCAGAGGCTTAACAGTGAGGTTCCTGAGGCCCCTCCCCCTCAGTGCCGGTTAGGGTCCCCTGGGGTCCTGCACCCCCTCCCCCCAGCCCTGCAGCCTGGGCCTTGTGTCTGTGTCCGCAGTATCTACCCAAGGACCAATTGTGTCTCCATGCCCAGCGAGGGGGGAGCTGGGAGCAGGGGTGGGGCGGACCCCAGCCTGGGAGACCTTCCTCCCGAGCTGGGCCTGTCAGGGACCCTCATCCGGGACCAGAGCTTTGGCTTTCTTGGCGGCTGCGGCAGGACACGGAGGCCTGACAGCAGCACCGCCGGCATCTGACTTGCATTACATCTGGCAGCCAGGCCGCTTTGTGTGCCGGGAGGGTCTGGCCTGCGCCCTCGGGGCCGGGAGGGGCCAGCTGCTCAGCCGCTCCCTGCCCCCTCCTCCCTCCCTCTGATCGTGTGCGTCCCTGAGGACCTGAGGGAGAGGCCGGTCAGAGCCCAGCCTGGCCCAGGGGTGGCCTTCCCTCTGCCTCCCCTCCCCGCCTCCCCCTCGCCCGCCCTCTCCCCCTGCTCGGCCCTCCGGCCTCAGCACCAGATCCAGGCCCCACACTGTTGAGAGTCTGAGGGGAAGTTCTGGCTGGAGCAGGAAAACCGGGGTCCTGGCAGAAGAGGACTCCCTGCCGGAAGCCGAACACAATGGCCATTTACCAGGGGCGGAGGGGCGGGGAGTCCCTGTCCCTCCTGCCAAGCCCCCCCCCTGCTCCCCCGGCTGGTTTCCTGGTCGCTGTCGTGTGCCAGCGCTGAGGCAGCACTGCTGGGGTCCCTGTCCTCCCTCTCTGGAAACCCCCTGGCAGTTTCTGCCTCCTCCCCCGCCCCCATTTCCCCACCGGCCCCCACCCAGTCCTGTCCTCGCACATCTGGGCACGTGCTCTCTCGTCATCTTGATCCTAAGCCAAGCCACCACTGACCCAGCTCCGCCCGCGCTCCGTGCTCTCGGGAGGTCACGGCCCGTGTCCAACCGCTCTCTGGCCTGTAGCACCTTCTGGATGCAGGCGCCACCGCCCCCTCCGGCCCTCCAGGCAGGTGCCAGCCCCACGGTCCCGGGGACCAGATCCCCGAGCTGGACATACGCACAGCGCACAGCCGAGAAGGGCGCAGCCGGGACTTGGACCTGGGCTGTTTTCTCCCGGGCGCCCGCTGTGCACTTGGGACCAGAGGGGTCAGAGACGGCTCGCCGACGAGGCAACGTCAAGTTCACCAGGAGGACGTTGGGGCTGTGGGAAAACGGAACCGGGCCCAGGCAGCCCAGAGCCTGGCCAAGTGAGGGGCAGGGATGCTTAGAGGTCAGAGGAAGGCCAAGTGCTGTGGCCAGAGCACGCTGCGGGGGGTTTAGGGGGGGCTTCCAGGAAGATGCAAGCCCTCAGCAAGCCCCCCCAAGGTGTGAGATAACAGCGCAGAGGAGCCAGCACTCTGGGAGGCCCAGTGCTGAGCAACCCCATGCATTGTGTCCCTGCGATCAGGGCTGTCAGTAGCCCATTTAGCAGAAAGAACAACTGAGGCGCTGGAGGTTAATTAGATGGCAGGGTTCTGGCCCAGGCAGTGGGCCTGCATGCGAGGCCTGAGAGTGTCTTGGGAGGGGGGTGGAATGAGGGGGCGCTTCTCCGTCTTGGGGTAGAGATACACGGGGGAGGGGGGGAGGGGGCTCCTTCCAGCCTCCCTGCCTCCTCAGGGTCACTGGCCTCCTGACCACACTGTATGCAGAGCTTCAGGTTAGCTGCCGGGGCCTTGACCCGGGAGGCCCCAGAGGCATGGCCCAAGGTACCTGTGTCTGTGTGTCTGCCTGCTGTTTACAGGGACCCCCCACCCCCCCCCCCGGTTCCCTCTGCTCTGCTCCTCCGGGGCTGCAGGAGAAGGGCGTGCCCAGCTGGGGAGACTGGAGCACGCGGGCTGTGTGTGTGGAGCTCAGGGAGGCCCTGGGAGAAGCCCGGCTGCCGGGAGTGGGGCGTCCCGGGCCCTGTCTTCATTGGAATGGATTTAGCACCCGCCCTCCGTGGCCCCTGATGGAGCCGGTGGGCAGCTCCCTGGCGTGGCACGGTGGCCCCTGCCCAGGCCTGGCCTCCAGCCTGGCCGGCCCAGGCACACAGCTCTGATGGAGACCCCGACCCGCTTCCGAGGACCCGGGAGTGGACGCCTGCGGCCAGAGCAGGAGGCCGGGCCGGGAGCCAGGGAGCGCCAGCACCGGCTGCGTGGGGGGAGCCGGGTGCGGGCGTCGCTCGGGCGCTTCCCTCCCTGAAGGCGGGCCGCCCGCACAGCCTGCTGGTCACGCCCCGGGCAGTGCTGTTCTCTGGCAGGAGGGCTGGGATCCGCCGGAGTGCTGCTTGGCCCGCAGCCTGCCCTGCTCTGTGCCCGGGGCCTCGGTTTCCCTTTCTGTACAATGGGCCTGTACCGGGGCCTCTGCTGAGGGTTCCGGGGAGGACCACGGGAGACAGGCAGCCTGACAGGCGGTCCCCGCAGCGCCTGGCACGGCCTCGGTGCCGCCAGGTGTGTGTCCTGCCCGGGCTCCTTGTAGCTGAACCTCGGGCCTGTGGGGGCCCCGGACGCCCCCTCGGAGAGAGGTGTGGGTATGCTGGGGCTCTCACCCCCGACTGGTCTCTTTCACGCTTCCGTGTGACCAGGGCCAGACTCTGTTCTGAGGCTGCCACCGCAGCGGCCACCAGGGCGCGCGGCCTGGTGTGTCTCCGTGGACAGGAGAGTCACAGGCCACTTCCTGGCTCCTGGCCTGGGCGAGGTCCTGCCCGCTCCTTCCTCGTCCATCCAGTGAGGTGTGGGCAGGATTAAATGGGACGAGTGTGCACACCCAGGGCCTGGCGCCCAGGAAGTGCTGTTGCTGTTGGGACTGGACCTTCAGCCAGCCCCTCCCTACACCCCCAAGGGCCCCCCTCCTTCCTCCTCAGCCGTCACCAGCCAGGTCCCCTCGCAGGCCTGGCCCAGGGGCCCACTGACCCTGACCGTCAGGATGGGCAGGAGGGGGATGGGAGGGGGCAGGCCAGCCTGCAGGTCGGTCTCTCCTCCCCTTGGGGGCAGTTAAAGAGCTGGGCTCAGGCTGGTGTCAGGGTTCCTGGAGAGACGGGTCAGCCTCTTTGGGGCTCAGCACGGCCTCCAAACTCTAATTTCTGGAATCCCTGAGCTTCAAGGCTCCCTGGAAACCAGGCTCTGAGGTCGCAGCCCAGGCTGCCTCTGTGGGTGCAGTGTCACTGTGAGAGTGGCCCGCCCTTATCCGGGCTGACCTTGTGCCCCTGCGGGTCATCTGCGCGCGGGGCTCCGGGAGGCACCAGCAGGGTCACACGTGAATGGCATCTTCATCCTCCTGGCCCTGGGCTGACGCTCTAGGCCCCTGGTCGGCAAACCGCGGCTCGAGAGCCACATGTGGCTCTTTGGCCCCTTGAGTGTGGCTCTTCCACAAATACCACGGCCTGGGCGAGTCTATTTTAAAGAAGCGGCGTTAGAAGAAGTTTAAGTTTAAAAAATGTGGCTCTCCAGAGGAATCTCAATCGTTGTGCTGTTGATATTTGGCTCCGTGGACTGATGAGTTTGCTGACCATTGGCTAGGAGACAACCCAGGACTTGGACTGGAACCGTCCTGGATCTCTCCTCGGCCCGGACCCTGTCTGCGTGGCCCCCTCCGGGCCTCAGTCTCCCGCTCTGTGCAATGGGCGCCTGCGGTCCTGACCGCTGTGGATGCGCCTGGTCCCTGAACTCCTGGGGTTCCCTCTCGCTCCGTCTCCCGCTGGAGCGCCTGCTTTCGGGCAGAAGGCGGAAAAGTCAGCACGCTGCCCGCTGGCTCCAGCCCCCAGACGTTCGGGGTGACTGGGCCCCCTCCGGGTTCCGGAGCCCCTGGCAGGTCTCCCTCGGGTTTCCCGGGCGGCGTTTCAGCCTCACTGGGCCGGGGGGCGGGTGGGGGGGTGCGGTGTGGGTGCCAGCCGTCCCGCAGCAGCAGGTCTCGCTTCCTGGGCGCTTCCAGGTGCCAGGCACTGTCTGGGCTGCGAGCCTCATGCTGCCGCTGTGACCGTTAGAGCACATGTGTCAAACACAAGGCCCGCGGGCCAAATCCGTCCCGCCAGGCCTTGCAATGTGGCCCGCACCGCGCTGTCATCACTGCACTCCGCTGCGTTTCCATCACAATGACAGTTTATGACTGTTCAGTAAACCATTCGGCCCGCGATTTAGGCTGGATTTTAGATTTTGGCCCCTTCTCTGATTGAGTTCGACACCCCTAGGTTAGAGGGAGGCCCTTCTCCCCATTTCACAGGCGAGCTCACTGAGGCCGAGGCGGAGGCCCCGCAGAGCTGGGAGTCAGCCCTTCAGGGGGCCCGTGCTCTGGGGTCTGCAGGGCTCGGAGGGGGCCTCATGTACCAGAGCCTGCGGGGAGGCCAGGGGCTGGGGGGTGCTGGGTGCTGGGGGGCTGCGGGGGCTGTGGGTGCTGGGGGGCTGTGGGTACTGGGGGACTGGGGAGCTGCGGGGAGGCCAGGGGCTGGGGGGTGCTGGGTGCTGGGGGGCTGTGGGTGCTGGGGGGCTTTGGGGCTGGGGGGCTGGGGGGCTGTGTGGAGGCCAGGGGCTGGGGGGGCTGGGGGCTGGGGGGCTGTGTGGAGGCCAGGGGCTGGGGGGGCTGTGGGGAGGCCAGGGGCTGGGTGCTGGGTGCTGGGGGGCTGTGTGGAGGCCAGGGGCTGGGGGGGGCTGGGTGCTGGGGGGCTGGGGGGCTGTGTGGAGGCCAGGGGCTGGGGGGCTGTGTGGAGGCCAGGGGCTGGGGGGGCTGGGTGCTGGGGGCCTGGGGGGCTGTGGGGAGGCCAGGGGCTGGGTGCTGGGTGCTGGGGGGCTGTGTGGAGGCCAGGGGCTGGGGGGGCTGGGTGCTGGGGGGCTGGGGGGCTGTGTGGAGGCCAGGGGCTGGGGGGTGCTGGGTGCTGGGGGGCTGTGGGTGCTGGGGGCTTTGGGGCTGGTGGGCTGGGGGGCTGTGTGGAGGCCAGGGGCTGGGGGGGCTGGGGGCTGGGGGGCTGTGTGGAGGCCAGGGGCTGGGGGGCTGTGGGGAGGCCAGGGGCTGGGTGCTGGGGACCTGGGGGGGCTGGTCAGGGCCGCGGGCTGCCTCGGGGACTCGTGGACCCAAGCAGCAGCTCACAGTGGTGACCCGGTGCGCACGGAAGCCGCGGTGAGCCCCCCGTTCTATCTGGAGCGTTCGGCTGGGCCTGCAGTTCCCGGGGACAGCGCCCTGCGGCCCGCCCCTCCGAGAAGGCTGCCACCCCGGGGCCCGGGCTGCACTCCCCCGGAGCCTGCGCCGGCCTCTCGGTAGACGGCTCACACGGTGCCCGCGCTCAGAGATGCCCCGTGGTCTGGGCTGTCCCTGCGGGAGGCGACAGGCAGGACAGGGTCATCTCCGCGGGGCATGACTCCCCTGCCCAGCCTGTGTGCTCAGCGTCCCGCCCTGCCCCCCGGCCGGCTGGCAGAGGGGGCCCCTGGGGTGGGGGAAGGGCTCCGGGATCACATGACGCCCAGGCCGCCCAGCCAGCTGCTCCCAGCAGCGAGGCCCAGGGCGCGGAGCCGCTAGTAGACCGAGGCCAGGCCTGCCCGCTGTGAGCCTGGCCGGCCTGGAGGGAGGCCCGGGAGCCAGGTGCTGTGTGGGCTCCGGAGGGGTTCAAGTCCAGTGGCCTCCAAACTGGCAGGACCATGTGGCTCCCAGCTGGGCCAGATGTGGCTGGAGTGCCAGGAGCGGGACAGGCCTTTGTGGGAGGGGAGGTGGGGGCGGCCTGGCCCTGGCTGGGGGAGGAGAGCAGGGCTAACGGCGCCTGAAGCCCTGTCTGCCTCTCCCCCGGGGCTCCTCCAGGCCGGGAGGGGAGTGTGGGGAAGGATGGGCGCATCTGTTTCTGTTTTTCTGCTTCAGGAGAGGAATTCCCCTCCTGGCCGGCTGGCGTGGGCGGTGGGGGGGTGGGTGTGGGAGTGATGCTGCGGGGGCAGCCTGCTGAGGGCCCCCTGCTGGCTTCCAGGAAGCGGCTGGCTGTCTCCCTGGAGGAGGCGGCGAAGGCTCCGGAGCCGGTGCGATTGCCCGGAGCGGGAGGGCGGCCTCCGCCAGAGGAAGTGGCTTCCGGAGGACGGCTCCTGGGCCCCCCAGAGCCCTCCGGGGCGGGCAGGAGGCGAGAGGCCCCGGCCCGGCCCTGACCAGGGGGCCGGCACCGCGGTTATAATACGGGATGCCCAGATGCCGGCAGCAGGTCCCGGCCCAGCGCCCCCCGCAGGCCCGGCTGCAGGGCAGGCCGTCCGCGGCCCAGGCTGAGTCAGCGCTTGGCACGGGGCCTCCTCTGAGGTCCACGCCCCCCTCGCCGGGGGCACTGACCTGTGCGTGGTCCCGCTGCTGGCCCTGACCGTGTGACTGATGGCCGGGTGCCCGCTGGCACCTCCCGCTGGCTCCTCCTGAGTCTCGGAGGTTGGCACCTTGACTCCTAGGCCCCTTTCCCCTGAGGTGCACCCTCCCTGGGACCGGGCCGGCCGGCCGGGAGAGGGCGGTGCGGCCCAGGGCGGCCGTGACTCAGTGGCCTCGCCCTGGCCTGGCTGAGGGCCAGGGCTGGGGCCGCTGCCTCTGAAAACAAGGACCTTCCTCTCTGTCGGGGGCCGGCTGCAGCCATGACCCCTCTTCCTGGCCCAGCCGGCCCCATGGCTGTGGGTCCCCCGGAGCCCCGGCCGGCCGCCTGTGCGTCAGCCCTGTCCCGGTCCTCACCCCGTCCCGAACACGTGACGGCGAGGAGCGGGACGTCCTCTGTTGCCCAAGAGGCACGAGGCCTGAGCGCGCAGACAGGGAGGAAGCGGCCTCGCACGTGGCCTGGGGAGGCCCCGCACCTGCCCGGCCCCGTGATGCTGGCTGCAGGCCCGGCCGAGGAGCCGCCATCCTGTGGGTCTGCTGGGGTTGGGGGGCCAGGCTGTGGACGAGGGGCGGAGGGGAGGGCCGCATGCCCCCCTGGGTGCCGCTGCCGGCCATGGGGTCCCAGGTCGCCGCTCACCTGCAGCTACATGGCTCGGACAGGCTGCCCCTCTCCCGGCCTCCGAGCGCCCCCTGTGAGGGGACCGGTCCCGGCGTGTCTTGGGGGCACCCCGGACAGGAGCGGGCCGTGAGGGGTGGGCTCGCCTTGTCCGCCCCAGCGCCCGGCCGGCAGGCGGGACCGAGGGGGCTGTCCGGAGAGGAACCGTCCCCAGGCCGTCCTCCTGTTCATGCTGGGTCTGAGGGGTGGGTGGCGCTGTCTCTGCAGAGCTCCACGCAGGAGATCGGCGAGGAGCTGGTCAACGGCGTCGTCTACTCCATCTCGCTGCGCAAGGTGCAGGTGCCGCAGGCGGCTGGCAGGGGCCCGCGCCGGCTCGGGGTGAGTGTGGGGGCCGCGCAGCTCGGGTTCCACGTGCCGCCCTGGGACCACACCCGCCTCCCCCCAGGCTATACCCCCCGCCCCCCCCCCGGGACCCCACAGACCAGCTCCCAGAGGGATCGGCCCCCCGCCTGGCCGGCCCCGGCGCAGCCAGGTGCAGCCACTGCTCGCACACACGTGTGTGACACGGAAAGGACACTTCCCACCGCCCCTCCCTGCTCGCCGGGGAGTGTCTGTGTGTCTGGCCCGCGCTTCCCGTTTTGGCTGCTGCTCCCTGCCTGCCTGTGGTGCCGTCCCGACCGTCCTCCCACCCCTCCGAGCCTCAAACCCCCACACTTTGAAGGGAGGGCTGTTTTCACCCCAAAAAGGACGGGGGGCGGGGGCGGGGGCTGGCCGCTCTGGACACTTGCCTGTGACTTGATCTCTCGGCGAGCACAGCCCGTGGCCCCTCCAGGCCGGAGCCGAGGCCGGTCACCACGGTGACACAGCCGCTCAGGGCCCGGGCCATGGGCGCCCCCTGCGCCGCGCGCCCCCTGCGCCGCACCCTTGTCTCCGGACCGGGCCCAACCGCTGGGGCTCCCGGTGACGTGCTCACCACCGGAGGCGCTGTCCTTACTCAGCTGGCAGGTGACCTGCAGGCCCTGCCTCTCCCATCCCCCTCAGGGCGGCTTTTACTTCTATTCTTTTAGAATATATTTTTACTGACTTCAGAGGGGAAGGGAGAGGGAGAGGGAGAGAAACATCAGTGAGGAGAGGGAATCATGGATCGGCTGCCTCCTGGGGATCGAGCCTGCCTCCCTCAGGCCGACGCTCTATCCACTGAGCCACACCGGCCAGGGCTCAGATCGACTTTTAAACGTGAGAACCTTTTCCTGGGGGGACACTCACGTCCCGCCTCCTGCCCCAAGTCCCCGCGCGCGTGGGAGCACACCCCCCCGGGGTCCCGGCCGCCGCCCCGGCCCACACGGCCCTCCTCTGCCCGCCCCAGGGTGAAAGCGAGTCGGCCCTGAGCCTGTACGAGACCTGCAAGGTGCGCGCGGTGAAGGCGGGCACGCTGGAGAAGCTGGTGGAGCACCTGGTGCCCGCCTTCCAGGGCAGCGACCTGTCCTACGTCACCATCTTCCTGTGCACCTACCGCACCTTCACCACCACCCAGCAGGTCCTGGACCTGCTCTTCAAGCGGTGAGCGCCGCCCCCGCCGCCGGCTCCCCCCTCCCGGCTGTGTGTCTCCGGGAAAACCCTCGCCCTCTCTGAGCCTCCGTCTGCTCCTGGGACACAGCAGCCGCCCAGGTTGTGGGGACCCTCGGGGCCGACGTAACTCTCCCGCCAAAGCAGCTTTCTGCCCCCGTGCCCTGGGGTGAAACAGCTCTCGTTTGAGTAGAGGTCCCGGCTTCCGTCTGGGGGTGCCCGCCCCAGGCCCGCTCGGACACCTGTGAGGTGCCCGTTGGGGTTCACTCACCCCACACACGTAGGTGGAGCCCCTCCTGCGTGCGGGTACTTTTCCGGGCACGGAACGTAATTGGGTGCAAAACGCAGATAAGCCGTGCCCTCGGGCTGCGGGCCGGGGCGGGGGGCGGCCGGTAACCGCAGCCGTCACAGCAGGTTCGGTAGATGTGACGCCCTCACGGCCTCCTCTAGATACGGATGCATCCTCCCCTACGCCCAGGAGGACGGCGGGTCCCAGGAGCGCCTGAGGAAGTGAGTGCGCCGGGGCCGGGGCCGAGGGCCTGGCCGCCCCGGGGGACGCTGGGGGCCGAGGCTGCGGGCGGGCAGAACCCCGGCCCCCGCTGCCTGGGCCTGCGGGCTCCTGCAGGAGGGAAAGAGTGGGGAGCTGTGGGTGGGCCCTGGGCTCCAGGGAGCAGAGGGAGGCTGGGGACCTGGAGCCAGCCCCCCGGGGAGGACCATCCTCCTCACACCCGCCCACCCTGCTGGCCCCGTCCCTGTCCGGACGCCCGGGACAGAGCATGCAGCCCCCGGCCTGTGGGGCGTCCGGTCCAGGGGGGCGCTGGAGATAGACGGGGCGGGGATCAGGCTTTCCGGGCGGGAGAAGTGGTCGCACGGTCGGTGGAGCCCGGGGGAAGAGGGGGGCGGGGGCACTGGTCTCTGGATAGGCAGGGACGGGCCCAGAGTCCACCCCCATGGGCCATGGGAGGGCCGCGTGGAGGGGGAGCCAGGCCTTTGACGCTGCTGCCCCCCGCCCAGTGCCATCTCCTCCATCCTGGGCACCTGGCTGGACCAGTACTCGGAGGACTTCAACCAGCCGCCGGGCTTCCCCTGCCTCAAGCAGCTGGTGGCCTACGTGCAGCTCAACATGCCGGGCTCGGACCTGGAGCGCCGTGCGCACCTGCTCCTGGCCCAGCTGGAGAGCGCGGAGCCCGCCGAGGCTGAGCTGGAGGGTGAGGAGAGGGGGGCCGGGGGCCAGGGGCCGGGGTCAGTGCTGGGCACAGAGGAGCCTCCAGAGGCTGGCGTGGGGTGGGCCGGGAGTAACGACTGGCCTCGGACAACCCTCTGGGCTGCTGGTGGGGAGGACGGCCTGGGCTGAGGCTTCTCCTGCAGGCAGGGGCGTGTCTGTCGTGGGAAATCAGGCGTGTTGCTGAACCTCTCTCCTGTTACAGCTTTCTCACCTGCGCCAGCTCCAGCAGCCAGTCCTGTGCCCAGTCCTGTGCCAACTTCAGAGCAGGAGCCAGCCCCATCGCCAGCTCCAGCTCCATCGCCAGCTCCATCGCCTGCTCCATCGCCAGCTCCAGTTCCAGCTCCATCGCTAGCTCCAGCGCCTGCTCCATCGCCAGCTCCAGTTCCAGCTCCATCGCTAGCTCCAGCGCCTGCTCCGGCGCCCGCTCTAGTGCTCAGTCCGGTGCTGGCCTCAGAGCAGGAGCTCGTGCCGGCTGGAGAGCCTGAGCCTGCCCGCGAGCCAGCTCCAGAGCGAGAGCCAGCCCCGGGACCCACTCCCACAGCCGCCCCGGAGCTGGAGCCGGCTCTGTCGCAGACTCTGGAGCTGGAGCCGGCCCCGGCACCAGAGCCCCCCTGGCCTTCGCCTGTGGCTGCGGAGAACGGGCTGCGCGAGGAGAGGCCTCACCTCCTGGCGTTTCCTCCCGACCTGGTGGCCGAGCAGTTCACCCTGATGGACGCGGTGAGCAGCTCTGCCCAGGGGGAGTGCGGGAGGGCGGGAGGGCGCACCTTCCCCTGGCATCTGCTGCCCACACGGGCGTGCCCTGGTCCAGAGCTGGTGCCCTGGCCTAGCCCCAGCCCCAGCATTGCAAACTGCGTGACCCGGGCAAGCTTCCTGTCCCCAAGGCCTCTGTTTCCCTGGGACCCCACCCCACCCCCTCTCTGCACAGAGTGACTGAGGGTCAGAGGAAGGGGGACAGTAGAAAATTGGGGAGCCTGCTGTTGGGTGGGGAGGAGCTTCCCCATCTGCCCAGGGGGCCTCGCAGCCTCAGCACTTACCAGGTGGACCCACGTGGATGAGCACCTGGGCCGGGGGGGGCACAGGTGTGAGGGCTCAGGCTCCCCGGTGCCCCTTGGGATGGTGCCCGCCGTTAGGGAGGGCGGCTGCTGAGGACGCCACCCTCCCCGCCAGCGTTCCATCCCGGTCCCTCGTGTGCCGGTGCCCACAGGGGCCGGGAGCCAGACCCACGGGCTCTGCCTCCAGGGCCCCAGCACGGACCAGGGCCCTGCCGGGACTGGGGGGCCCTGCCGGGACTGGGGGGCCCTGCCGGGACTGGGGGGGCCCTGCCGGGACTGGGGGGCCGGTGCTGCCCTGGGGGTGCGGCCCAGTGACACGCCCTGCCCCCCAGGAGCTGTTCAAGAAGGTGGTGCCGTACCACTGCCTGGGCTCCATCTGGTCCCAGCGCGACAAGAAGGGCAGGGAGCACCTGGCCCCCACCGTGCGGGCCACCGTCAGCCAGTTCAACAGCGTGGCCAACTGCGTCATCACCACCTGCCTGGGGGCCCGCAGCACCGCGGCCCGGGCCCGGGCCCGGGTGGTGGAGCACTGGATCGAGGTGGCCAGGGTACGGAGCCCCTGCTGCCCCGTCCCAGCCCTCCTGTGTCAGGGCCTCCGTGACCTTGACTTATCTGCCCCCGCCCCTGCCCCCTCACTTCCTCCTCAGGTTCCTTCCTGGGTTGAGCTCAGGCCCCCCAGCGATTTTCACGGGGTGCAGGTCCCCTGGGAGGGGGGCTCCCCCAGAAGGGGCGGTGCCAGCCCCCCTCACGCTGCTCCCCCCCTCCCCCCCAGGAGTGCCGGGTCCTCAAGAACTTCTCGTCCCTCTACGCCATCCTCTCCGCGCTGCAGAGCAACTCCATCCACCGGCTGAAGAAGACGTGGGAGGAGGTGTCCAGGTGGGCGGGCCGGGGGGCTGGGCCCGCCTCCGTGAGCCTGAGGCCAGCGGTCCTGCCTCAGGACTCAGTTTCCCTCTCCGTCAGGCCCTGGACTGAGCCGCACAAAGTCAAAACTGGTCCCCACAGAGCCGCTCGGTAGAACCGGGCCCGGGGCCCGGGCGACCCACCCGAGCCCCCCCCCAGGCCCACGGGGCCCTTCAGGCCGTGGGACCCGCGCCGGCAGCTCGGGCCTTTGGGCTCCACGAGAAAAGGGGATCCCACTCACCCTCCCGCCCCCTCCAGGGACAGCGTGCGGGTCTTCCAGAAGCTGTCGGAGATCTTCTCGGACGAGAACAACTACTCGCTGAGCAGAGAGCTGCTGGTCAAGGTGAGGTGGGCGTCCCTCCCCTGCCAGTCCAGCCTGTCCCTGGGCGGGCCCTGCCACCCCCTCTGTCTGAGCTCACTTCCCAGGGGAGGGCCCGGGGCTGCCCAGGCGACAGGTCCCAAGGGGGCTGCCCAGGCGTGCGCCTGAGTGTCTAGAGTCTAGACCGATCTGGGTGCACGTGGGGGTGAAGGGCAGAAGGCCTCGCTGACCCCATGCTCAACCCGGCAGGAGGGCACCTCCAAGTTTGCCACGCTGGAGATGAACCCCAAGAGGGCCCAGAAGCGGCCGAAGGAGACGGTGCGTGTGCCATCGTGCCTGACCCGCCCCGAGACCTGCTCCACGGGCCGTGCCCTCCCCAGCTGGGGTCCAGCCGCCAGAGCGAGGCCCTGAGGGCTGGGCTTGCCCAATTCGGGGTGGCGGTGCAGGCAGGCAGAGACCCGGCCATCTTGGGGACTTGCCAAATGCCAGGCCTGGGAGGTCGCCTGAGGGTGCAGGGTCCGTGGGCACTAGGAGGGGGATCAGCGCCTAAGGGTCCCCAGGCTGCTCCGAGCGGGAGCCCGGGGTTGGGGCTGGGAGCGGAGGCCGAGGGGCCCCCAGGGGAGTGCGTGGATCCCACTTACCACTCCCATCTCGCTGTCATAGGGTGTCATCCAGGGCACCATTCCCTACCTGGGCACGTTCCTCACGGACCTGGTGATGCTGGACACCGCCATGAAGGACTACCTGTATGTGAGTGAGCTGGGGCGGGGCGGGGCGGGCCCGAAGCCCGAGGAGAGCGCCCCTCAGAGGAGAGAGCGCCCCTCAGCCAGCCCTGCACTCCCAGCCCCTGGCCCCTGTGTGTCCGTGGGGAACCAGCTCAGCACCTGGCTGAGGGGCTCAGAGCTGCAGGGCGAAGTTAGCCAGCCGTGCCCGTGGGCGAGCAGGCCACCCCTCCGAGGTCAGGCACGTGGTAGCCACGCGGGGTCTTGTCTGAGGGTTTAGTCCCTGCGTCTGTCCTCAGAGTGCTGAGCGAGAAGGTCCCTCTTTGCCCAGCTCCCAGGACCCAGCCCGGGCCCAAGCTTCTGTGCACGCCCTGCCCTCTGGTGTTCGCTCTCGGTAGTGCAGCCTGAGAGGGGGGCTGGGTGGTCAGGTCTCCCCATGCCCAGCTCCCAGGACCCAGCCCAGGCCAAGCTTGTGGGGATGCCCTGCCCTCTGGTGTTTGCTCTCGGTAGTGCAGCCTGAGAGGGGCCCGGGTGGTCTTGGGCGTGGGGATGGACACGTTCTGATGGGCGTTGGCTGTCTGCCTTGCAGGGGAGACTGATCAACTTCGAGAAGAGGAGGAAGGTGAGCAGCCACCACCCTCACTTTGGGAATCAGAGCCCCTGGCCTCCCCCTTCCTGCTATCTTAACGGGGAGAGCTGGATCCAGAGGGGAGGGCCTCTCACAGAGGAGGGAGGAGGGAGGAGGGGGGCCGGGAGCAGGAGTGAGAGTCCAGGACAGTTCCCGGGGAGGGGCTGTTGGAACCCAGCTGAGGATGGGGTCGGGCTTGGGTGGGGGCAGAGAAGAGGAGGTGACCCTGCACCCACTCAGGCCCTCCCCTCCGGCCCCAGGAGTTCGAAGTGATCGCCCAGATCAAGCTGCTGCAGTCCGCCTGCAACAACTACAGCATCGAGCCCGAGGGCCAGTTCGGGGCCTGGTTCCGGGCCGTGGCGCGGCTCAGCGAGGCCGAGAGGTGAGGCGGGCGGGGGCGGGGGTGGGCGCATCGCGGGCTCCAGGGCCTGCGGCGAGGCGGCTGGGTGCCCACCCTCCAGCCGCTGGCACCTGTTGGGAGGGGGCCGGAGCGTGGCCCGGGAGCTCACAGCCGCCGCCTGTCCCGCAGCTACAGCCTGTCCTGTGAGCTGGAGCCCCCCTCCGAGTCGGCCAGCAACACCCTGAAGGCCAGGAAGAGTACGGCCATCGTCAAGCGCTGGAGCGAGTGGGTGCCCGGGCTGGGGGGCCCCGGGCAGCGGGAGGCGGACAGCTGGAAGGGAGATCCCCGTTCCTCACTCACCAGCCCTGTGACAGGGCCTCTGTGCCCTCTGATGCTAAATGGCGGCACGTGGCCTGAGCAGAGGGGGTGCCTGGAGCGGAGTGTGGGGGGCAGGGATGGAGCGTGCCTCAGGGGAGGCCTCCCCCGGTGACCCAGCACCCTTCTTGCAGCCGCCAGGCCCCCAGCACGGAGCTGAGCGCGGGCGGCAGCTCGCACTCCAAGTCCTGCGACCAGCTCCGGTGCAGCCCCTACCTCAGCAGCGGGGACGTCGCCGACGCACTCAGCGTGCACTCGGCCGGCTCCTCCAGCTCCGACGTGGAGGAGATCACCATGAGCTTCGTCCCGGAGTCCCCCGACGGCCAGGAGAAGAAGGTGACGGCCCCTGCCTTCCGGTCCCAGTGTCTCCCCTCACCCCCGAAGGGGCCAGAAGACCCCTCGCAGCCCCCAGGGCTCGCGCCGCTGCTGACCCTGCCGTCCCCGCAGTTCTGGGAGTCGGCCTCCCAGTCGTCCCCGGAGACCTCCGGCATCAGCTCGGCGTCCAGCAGCGCCTCCTCCTCCTCGGCCTCCACCACGCCCGTGGCCAGCGCCCGCGCCCACAAGCGCTCCGTCTCGGGGGCCAGCAGCCACAGCGCCTCGCTGCCGCTCTACAACCAGCAGGTGGGCGACTGCTGCATCATCCGGGTCAGCCTGGACGTGGACAACGGCAACATGTACAAGAGCGTCCTGGTGAGCGGCCCGCGCGCCTCCCGCCGGCCGGCAGCACAGGCCCGGGCGCCCGTCCGCCCGTCCGCCCGTCGCCCGCCTCCCTCCGGCGGGTCAGGAAGGCAGGAGTGAAGGAGCGGGCGTGGCGATCGGATGAGGGCAGGAGGTGTCCGGTCACAGCCAGGGCACAGGTCTCGGGGAGCACCGGGCGGTGTCCCACGGAGGGGCAGCGAGCAGGCCGGAGGTGAAGGAGCAGGGCGCAGGGTCAGCGGGTCAGGGAAGTGTCGGGGGTGAGACGGGAGTCCCCGGAGGTTGGAGCAGAGCGGGGCAGAGACCTAGGACCGTCTCCGGGGGATGGGCTGGTGCCCGGCTGGTAGCCGGCGGGGAGGGGGAAGGCCAGCGATCAGACACTGTGTAGAATTTGAAGGTCAAGACCAAGCCAGCAGGACTGACCTGTGGGGGTCCCCGCCTCACCCCACCACCGGCTAGGGTGCCCCGTGCCACAGACCTGTGTCTGAAGCCGCTGTGCTCTGGCGCTCGGGGTGGACACAGCAGGTCGGCCTGGCCCGTGCTGACCACAGAGGCAGCCTCCAGGGCAGTCTGGCCTCAGCCACGTGGATACTGCCGTGGAGGGGCAGTCAGTTTCCCAGGACGTGTGGGGGAGGTATGCATGCTTGTGAGAGGAGGGGGAGCAGGAACAACTGGGAAAGACCCCTCATCATGGCCAGGCCTCCCCGGGGAGGTGGCGAGGCCCCGGCCAGAGGCGGTGAGGCCCTGTGCGCGGTGTGGGGCGGCTCGGAGGGCCCTGGCCGCGCCCCCTGACGCCTGCCCCCCCCCCCCCCCCATCCAGGTGACCAGCCAGGACAAGGCCCCGGCCGTCATCCGCAAGGCCATGGACAAGCACCACCTGGACGAGGAGCAGCCGGAGCACTACGAGCTGGTGCAGGTCATCTCGGACGAGAGAAGTATGTGGACCGGGGAGGAGGGGCCACAGCAGGGGGTGGGGCCGGGAGGAGGGGGGGCCAGGGCGGCGGGAGTGGCACCAGGCCCACCCCTTGGACTCCCACCAGCAGGGGCGGGGGAGGCTTCGCGCACACACCGACCTGCTCCTGGCCGGGCCTGGACACCCTGTTTTCTCACTGCCTCTTACTCCCCCCCGTTCGGCTGAGCCCGCAGCCAGCCGGGCACTTTCTGGCTGGGATGGGGAGTATGTTATATCCACTCGCACGGTCACCAACCACCGCAGGCCGGGCGCCTTATAAACACCCCACGGCTCTGCCCCGAGCTGCTCACCCTCTCCCCGCACGAGCCCGACCCTCAGCCAGGCCCCCACGGCCCCTGGGAGGTGGTTTCTGAATCCCCTCTCCTTCCTGCCTCGTCTCCCTGATGTGAGATGCGAGGCCGACACAGGGGCAGGACCCAGGGAGCCACACGGGGCAGCGGGCGCGGGTTCCAGCGGGCAATGGGGCCCAGCAGGCTCCGGGCCAGCCGGGCGGTGGGAACAGGAGCCAAGCGTCAGGGCTTGGGGGTGCCCGGCCCGCCTCCCCGCCCCCCCCCCCCCCCCCCGGCGGCACAGGGGTCTGCCCTTCGCTGGGCCCCACGCTCCTGAGCTGAGCAGGGCAGGGCTCGGGCGGTGGTCTGGGGTCCACAGGACCTGTTCCCGCGTGAGGTCCTGGCCAGCGAAGGCAGCGGGCGGGGGGCAGCGGGGCGACCCTCCCCTGCTCCAGGGACGCTGTGGAGCCAGTCGCTCTGTGGGGAGGACTCGCTAGGTCCATGGGCCAGGCGGCCCTCACGGTGGTGTGGAGGCCTCGGTGCTGAGCCAGCCTGTCCCGGGGTCTCTCATACTGACCCCCCTCCCCGGCCAGAGCTGAAGATTCCGGACAACGCCAACGTGTTCTACGCCATGAACTCCGCCGCCAACTACGACTTCGTCCTGAAGAGGCGGGCCTTCGCCAAGGGGGCCAAGGTCCGGCACGGCGCCAGCTCCACGCTGCCCCGCGTGAAGCAGAAGGGGCTCCGCCTCGCCAAGGGCATCTTCTAGCTGGTCCCCGGGCTGCCGGCCGCGGGGCTGCCCGCCGAGCACTTACGGACGACAGCGGCCCAGGCCAGGCGGGCACCGTCTGCCCAGCCTGCCCCGGCCACCCTCCCCGACTCCGGTTCCTCCCCGGAGCCGCTGCTGCCGGGATTGACGCCTGCCCGTCACCAGGCTGACCCGGCCGCCCGGACCGCCCGCCGCCTTAGGTGCCTTCCGCTCTCCGGAGCCAGAGGACTGGCCGACGCCGCCCAGGAGCACTGCCCGCCACGGGCACGCCCTCGCCACACCGCCCTCACACCCTCCCGGTGTGGTCACTGCCACCGGTGCCCACGGGCAGCCCAGGGCACCCACTCATCCACTGGATCTGACCACTGCGGCTCTCTTCGCGCCACGGACACCGGCCGTGGCATCCACGGGGCCCGGCCCCTCCACCACCGAGCCTTCCGCAGGCTGCACCAAAGACCCGCGGTCAGGCCACGGAGTGCGGGAGCCCTCGGAGAGGAGGGGCTTCGGCACCTGCAAGTGGGACCAGCCCCGCGGGCCCCCGGCCCAGCCCGAGTGCCGTCTGCCGCTGCACCTGGGCTTCTGGGGACCACACGGGAGGAGCGGGGGAAGGAGGGTGGGGGAAGGGAGGGGGTGGAACATTTGTATAAAAGGCAAAAATCATGTTTACCAGTGGGGGAGGGGCAATATTTATTTGTTGTAAATAGTAAATGCTAGACTTGGATATTATATTAAAACCCTGTTTCTACGATAGCCAGGGAGAGACGCTTTTGTTCTTTTGCCTGTGCTCCTTTATTTAAAAAAAAAAAAAAATATATATATATATATTTTTTTATTGACTTTAGAGAGGGAGGGAGAGGGAGAGAGAAACATCAATGGTGAGAGAAAATCATGGATCAGCTGCCTCCTGCACCCCGCCCCCCCCCCCTGGGGATTGCACTCACAACTCAGGGCCTGTGCCCTGACTGGGAATCGAACCTGTAACCCCTGAGCCAGGCCAGCCAGACACATCTGTGTGCTTGTAAACGACCTGCAGTCGTCCATCTGTGTTCAGACAAGAAGCTGTGGGGGCGGTGGGCTTCTCTGCAGGAGGCAGATGGGCAGCCGTCTCTGGCTCTCACAGACACCCCTTCCCCCGTTTCCCCCCTTCCGCCTTCCACAGGGTGTGTGGGGCATCGTGGACCTGGGCAGCGAGTTGAGCGCCCCCTCAGGCCCCTGGCGGGAGAGGGCACAGGCGTTCACAGGGCCCAGGACCACCTCTGAGAGACGGGGGGTCTGACAACTACCCTGGTGGTCCCCTGTCTCCCTCACATGGACGCTTCTCTCCCTCCTCCCTCTCTAAAAAAATAAATAATCAATTGAAGAGACCTTAAACTCCCCTTTGGAAGCCAATTAAAAAAAACCCAAGGGAATTAAAAAACCTGATGAACAATATTAACTGGTGAATATAATAGAATCAGAGGTATGGAAGGGGAGTGGACTGATGATTCTCAGGGAAAAGAGGAGTGGGAGGGGTGCAGGGAGAGACTGAACATAAACTGTGCACCTATGGACGAGGACAATGGGGGGTGGGGAAAGGGCAGAGGATGGGGTAGGAACCTGGTGGAGGGGAAAAAATGAGGAACTTTTGTAATAATATGAACAATAAAGGTTTATTAAAAATTATATTCACAAAAAAAGGAAAAGAAAAGAAATACCTAGAATAGGCAAATGGAGACAGGAAATGGAGCAAGAAGCTCCGGGTCGTCTCTCCAGGAGACAACATTCCGCCGGGAGGGGGACCCACCGGAATCACCGAATTCGGGGCTCGCCCCTCATCAGGCACAGCAGCCGGGTCACATGCTGACCACAGAGGCAAAGGACAGGAACCAGGGGCCACCCGCAGCCAGCCACACGGGCTCTGCAAGCTCGCCGGGGTGCGTCTCCACGGGGACGGGCTGCCCTCCGCTCTGACTCCCGCCCTGGGGCTCGGCGCCCGCCGCCCGGCACCTGCCAGGGCCCAGGGGACCGGCCTCCCTCTGGGGAGAGACGTTCATAGACGCCGGCTGAGAGGCTGCCAGGCTCCGTCCTCGGGGGCCTCCGGGCGGCGTGACTCAGCACTTTTCAGAAATAAAAGCGTCCTAAGAGCACAGCACGCTTCTGTGCCAAACACCATCCACGGGGATGTCCCTCAGCTCACAAAGGAGGGGCGTTCTGGTCCCCATGCAACAGGGTGTCCTCGGAAAAGATGTTTGTTTTTTTAATATATTTTTTTTATTGATTTTTACAGAGAGGAAGGGAGAGGGATAGAGAGCTAGAAACATCGATGAGAGAGAAACATTGATCAGCTTCTTCCTGCACACCCCCTACTGGGGATGTGCCCACAACCAAGGTACATGCCCTTGACTGGCATCGAACCTGAGACCCTTCAGTCTGCAGGCAGATGCTCTATCCACTGAGCCAAACCGAGTTTCTTCTTTAGTGGAGGTCTACCCCTGGCCAAGTAGCTCAGTTGGTGGGAAGGTCATGGGTTCAGTTCCCAGTGAGGACATATACCTGGGTGGTGGGTTTCATCCCCTGTCCCTCTCTCACTCCCGCCTCTCTCTCAAAAAAAAAATAAAGTAAAATAAAAAAATCAATACCCCAGCCAACATGACTCAGTGGTTGACCATCGACCCATGAATCAGGGGGTCGCGGTTCGATTTTGTTAGGGCACAGGCCCGGGTTGTGGGCTCCATCCCCAGTAGGGGGCGTGTAGGAGTCAGCCGATCCGTGATTCTCATCGTTGATGTTTCTATCTCTCCTCCCTCTCTGAATTCAATAAGAATATAAGAAAGACAAAAATCAATAAAAAAGGATTATCTAGAATAGGCAGATTGAGAGGAAACAGAAGAGGCTAGCAGGAGTGGGGGAGGGAGTTGCTGTGGAAGGGTACAGAGTCTCTGGGTGATGAACAGAATTAGAAATAGGGAGTGTGATGGTTGCACAGTAATGTGACTGCAATTAATGTCACCTTAGAAGTTAAAACGGAGTACTTTACGTTATGTATACTTTACTCAATTTTTTAAACATTTAAATTCTATTGTTGAAAGTATTACATGTCTCCCTTTTCCCCATTGACCTCTCTCCGGCCACTCCCTGTCCCCCAGCACATGCCCCTGCCCACCTACTCTCTGTGTCCATTGGTCATGCTTCTATGTGCACATACAAGTCCTTTGCTAGATCTCTTCCCCCCCCCCCCACCTCTGGCCACCCCCTTTACCCCAATTCTTAAAAAATAGCAGTTGCAGGGACCAACTCCTGACCAGGATGGGGCTGCCTGCCTTTGGAGGAAGAGGGGAGTGTGGCTGGGCGTGTGGTTTCTGCTGCCCAGGAGGAGGAATTCCTGGACTTCAAGTTCAGACGGGAACCCACCAGCGCTAAGGGGGGGATTGTGGATAGAAAGAGCCTGCCACTGGGAAGGCCAGGCGGGTTACTGGCCAGTGGCCTCTATGCGGGGACTTCCCATCCTGGCCGCCAGGGGCCGCCCCTTCCATTCCCGATTGGAACCCTCAGGCAACCCTGTCCTGGGAAGGCCTCTCTGGCAGCGTTGTGTCTGTAGAAGTGTGGAGAGCGGCTACAGTGTTTGGATAGGTTCTAGCCTCGGACTAATGAGAGGGCAGGTCCTCTCATGGCAGAGCCACGTGCAAGTCCCAGCTTGGAGGGCAAAACCCTCACAGCACAATTATAGCCAACGGTTATGGATGTAAACCTGACCTTATGGTCCAAACCTGTGTCCCCTTTGGGCTAAGAGATGTAGGCTGTGGCGGTGCAGCAAGTGCTGCCAAAACAAAGCTGGATAGAGTTCAGGTGCATATAATTCAGTAGATTTGAAATCTGAGAGAACAATGTAAACATCTTGAGCACTTTGCCTGGTGGAATCTGAGTATAAAATAAAGACTTGGCTTGCAGGCTGTGGCACTGTCTCTCCATCAGAGAGCAGTGTCCCACCTGGCCCCAGCTTTATTCTCCTGTCTGTCTTCTCTAATCCTTCCCTGTCCCCATCACATTCACCCCGAGCTGTGCTGAGCCAGCCACAGGGAAGGATTTGTGAAGCATCTTATTTAAGGCCACAGCTGGGCCCTGGGACCCAGCAGCTGCAGTTCTTCACAGGGTTCATTTCACCCGGGACCAGGCCTTGGACCGCCCCTGTTGCTCGGGGGGGGGGGGGGGGCGGTAGGGGGGGCACGTGGTCTGAGGAGTCCCAGGTGAGTGTGGGTTTGCAGGATAAACGTGCTGATTCCTGCCCCCTGGCTCCCCTCTGGCCCAGAGGAACCAGGGCTGTGCGGTCTGAGGTCCCATCTCAGGCAGTCACCAGTTTAGACTCAGAACTCAGCGAGACAGGGGAATGGTGGGAACTAGAAAGGGTAAGCCCAATTTTCTTAAAGGGTCCAATGGGAGGACCTAGTGGACTTGCCAGGAAACAGGTGAGCCCAGAGTACTCAGCCAATGAGGAGCCGGACAAAGGGGCTGTGTTCCCGCCCCGTGGGTGCCTGTACAGCCGGCAGACACCTGCTCTGGAGAGCACATTCAGGTCTCCTTTCACCGCACTCTGTCTCCAAGTGTCATTAGAATTGGGGCAGGTGAGCATTTCTCACAGTAACTGTCTACAACGGGGTGTCCACAGTGCCCACCGCCCGGGCCATGTGAGGTCAGGATGGGGGAGCATCGGTGCAGGCGGTGCCCCGTCCCAGACCTTGCTGAGCGGGCCATGGCCCTGCGTGTCACCTCTGCCTCCCGCTCCCCTCCAGACTCTGCCAGAACAGCGGGCAGAACCCTGGCTGAGCCGGGGGCATCCAGGCCCAGCCCAGGAGCCCTCTGCTCTGAGCCCAGCGGGATGTGTTACTGTCTCTGCCTGGGATCCAGCTGGAGGCGAATCAGTGTCTCTCCCAGGCCATTCCCAGACCCCGTTACACAGAGCCCGCTCCCCACACCCCGAAATTGAGGCTGAGGCTGGGCCCACTGGTCCAGAGGCAACTGCCCACAGGCCTGCTCCCCACTCAGGGCTGACCCTTCTCTGACCCTCTCTCTCCTCTTATGAGGGACACCCCAATTCCGGAGCCGAACATGGGCAGAGATTGTGTGGTGGCTGAGGTCATGAGGGCAAAGCGGGTTGCCAGAGAAAGAAGCGGCTTTATTCAGGAAGAGCTGGGGCGGGAGGGGCTCCCTGGGTCCCACCTGTGGCCTCTTGGGCAAGGACATTAGAAGCCCATGGCTGCACATCTGAGCCCCCTCAGAGTCAGCAATGGGGGGCTATGGGGGAGCCAAAGAGTCGCCCATGGGAGGCACGGGAATGGCCTTAGGGTCATCCGAAGGGGGCAGCCCCGTCTCTGCTCACGGTGGGCAGGGCCTGGTAGGTCTGGGTCCAGTACTGCAGGTAGCTGCTCCTCAGGTGCTGCTTCAGGGATTGGCCGTCCATCTTCTTGTTAATCTCCAGGTAGTTGCCATTTTCCTGGGTGTAGGGCTCCCACTGGGTGGGCACAGCCAAGGGGCCCTTGTTGGGGTCCCTGCACAGGAGAGGAAGGCTGTGTGGGTCTGAGGGCTCACGGGAGGCCTCCATGCTGACCCCAACCACCAGGGCACCTCACTGTGTCCTGGGCACAGGCTGGGCATGTGCGTGTCCTGAGGCCCAGCCAGTACTCCCCTCCCCTCCCCTCCCCCTCCCCCTCTCCTTTTTTTTAACCTGCACCAGATATTCCATTTATTTCAATGGAGAGTAAAAAGGAGGGGAGAGACAGAGAGAGAGGAGAGAAATATTGATGTGAGAGAGAAATCCCCAATAGGCCCAATCAATATCAGGGATCGAGCCTGCAATGAGGTACGTGCCCTTGATGGGAATCAAACCTGAGACCCTTCAGTACACTGGCCCAGGCTTTATCCACTGAGCCAAACTAGACAGGGCCCAGCCAGTACCTCCTATCCTCACACAGAGGGGGGCACTGAGGCTCAGGGAGGTCAAGTGTAGGACAGGGGACAGGCATGTGGGGCCCAGGTGGCAGGAGGCCTGGCCCAGCCTCACCCGGCCTTACCCAGTCCTGGCAAAGTTGGTCCAGTAGGCGATCATGGTTCGGGAGACAGTCCTGTCTTGGGGCCGGTAGATCAGGGGGTTGTCGAAAGGCTTCCCAAACACATAAGGGAGGTCATCGGCGTGGTCGGCGCCCACCCAGTTGGGGTAGAATGGATTGCGAGAGGGGTGGGAGAACAGGTAGGTGTAGGTCCGGGCACTCCTGAGGAGGGGAGGGACATGGCCCAGGTTGGCAGGGAGCTCAGCTGGGCTGCCCACCCCCAGCCGGGCCCTGGAGGGAGGCCATGGGGAGAGCAGGGCGGGGCCGGGAAATCACCTGACTCGGACTCAGGAGGGCCCTGGGTCCCTGCACCCTGAAGGGAAGGCCGTGGGGTTGTGGTTCTGGGATTTCAGGTGCATTCACTCTTCCCTCCACAAAGCCCATGGAGGCATCTTCCCTCCTTTTCCCTGCAGAAGAATGTGTGCTCCTCATCAGATGGTATCATCTCTGCCTTCCATGTAAACATTCCTAACTTAATTTTGTTTTCGCTGGAGGTTGACCAGGTGGCCGCAGTTTGAACGTTGGCCAACTCCAAACCCGCAGCAGAGACCATCCTCCCCATCTGTCCCCTTCAGCCTGGGGGCTGCGGGGAGGCTGCAGGCGCTGCCAGGGGAGGCCTGAGGCTGAGAGGGCTCTGTAGAGGCCCCTGAGCTGGGAGGTGAGGAGGTCCTTCTGAAGGCCCGTCAGGCCTGGGCAAGGCAGATGGCGCAGGCACCGCTGGAACCCCATCACGGCTTTCCCAAGCCTCCCTGAGCCCTTCCCCGGGGAGGCTCACTGGGCAGGTAAGTGACCCACTTGGGCCTCCCCTGCCCTGGCCCTCACTTGGCGTTGGCTCTGTGCTGGGCCACGGCCATCTTCGTGGGCATCAGGAACAGGACGTCAGTCACGAAGTCCACCACCGTCTTCTTCTTGGTCTCCTGGGAGGAGTCCTGGGCCCAGGACGCCGTGTAGAGGTCAAAGGTGGCGTTGGCTCCTCTGGGCCCCTTGGCCATGGTGACTTGGCTGACCAGCTTGTAGAAGTCCTCCCTGCACAAACAAGCTGGCACTGGACCCTTGGGCCAGAGGGAGGGGCCCCAATTCCACCCCTTCCCCCACCCCAGGGCCTGCAGATGGCCTCCTCCCTCAGCTGATGCCTCCCCAAGAGGCCCCCAGGCACGCCCTGGGCCCTGCGCCCTCCTCACCCCGTGACGGTCTGCTTGTCCTTGTCAATGGCGGGCATGACTTGGATGGCAAAGAGGTGGCCATCCATGTTGTTGGTGCCAGCGATGTAGTCGACATCGGCCGCGTTGGCAAAAAGGTTCATGGGGTCGTCGGGGATGAAGTCTCCATCCATGACAGGCAGGAGGCCCAACAAGGAGGCTGAATGGAGAGCAGCAGTTTCTAGCCCCTTCCAGGACCCCCCCTCCACCTGGCGGGCTCCCCCCGCCTCCTCTGCCAGACCCTAAGCTCAGGGCAGCCCCTGCCTCCTCTGATTCAGACCTGGGTCCCCAGCCTGTCCCCCTGACATGGGCCTGGATATTCTATGTCCTGGGCTGCCCTGAGCGTGTGGAGCAGCTCTCTTGGGCCCTTCCGCCCGTTGCCACCTCTGCCCAGTGTGGCAGCCCAGACTGTGTGCACACTGCCAGAGGCTCCCTGGGCCACTCCGGCCCGCTGAAAGCACTGGGCCTGAGGTCCCTGAAAGTGGGTGCAAATGACTGTTTCTGCCCATTGTTGGGGACAAGGTGCAGCAGCTTCCCAAAGGGATCAGGACCCAGGGAGGATCAGAGGGAAGGATGGCTCCCGAGACACAGCCTGTCGGGCCTCGGAGACATGGAGGACCCAGGCGGCATGGAGCTGCCTACAGGCGCCAGTGAGCAGCTGACGGGCCAGGCCACAGACCCGGCACTTCCTCACTTCTTGGGGAGCATGGCCAGCTCCTCATGTGGAGTTCCACTCACACTCCATGACTGGTGGGGGCATCTTATAGGCCAGTGTCAGGGCCCGGGGGTCGGTGACCTTCAGACACTTGGCCATCCTGGCGACATTGTCCAGGGGGCAGCCCACCTCTTTTGCGCCCTGGGGGTTTGGGGGGAGACAGGTGGGTGAGGCCAGTGCAGGACAGAAGGTCATGGGAACCAGGACAGGGTATGGAAAGAAGGTAACACTCCCCTCGCCCACCGCAGCTCCCCTTTACCCTCTTGGCCCAGGAGAGAGGGTCCTTCTGGATGGCCCAGGGGGCCAGTGCCACGCCACTCTCGCTGATGGCTCGCCGGATGAGGCCCTTGTTGTAGGGAGAGAGGGTCTACAACACACAGAGGTCCTGTCACCATGGGCTCGCCTCTCCTGCCCACCCGGTTTCAGCAGGGACAGCTAGACTGTCAGCTTCATGCTGTCCCCACAGCCCATCAGCTCCCCCAGCTCCCATCAGATCCCCCATCCCCCATCAGCTCCCCCAGCCCCAACAGCTCCCCCATCCCCCCATCAGCTTGCCCAGCCCCATCAGCTCGCCCAGCCCCATCAGCTCCCCCAGCCCCATCAGCTCCACCAGTTTCCATCAGCTCCCCCAGTTTCCATCAGCTTCCCAGTCCCCATCAGCTCCCCAACCCCCATCAGCTCCCCAGCCCCCATCAGCTCCCCCAGTTTCCATCAGCTCCCCCAGCCCCATCAGCGCCCCCAGTTTCCATCAGTTCCCCCAGCCCCCATCAGCTCGCCCAGCCCCCATAAGCTCCCCCAGCCCCCATCAGCGCCCCCAGTTTCCATCAGCTCCCCCATCCCCCATCAGCTCCCCCAGCCCCATCAGCTCCCCCAGTTTCCATCAGCTCCCCCATCCCCCATCAGCTCCCCCAGTTTCCATCAGCTCCCCCAGTTTCCATCAGCTCCCCCAGCCCCCATCAGCTCCCCAACCCCATCAACTCCCCCAGCCCCCATCAGCTCCCCCAGTTTCCATCAGTTCCCCCAGCCCCATCAGCTCCACTCAATCTCAATCAGCCCAAGTCAGCTCCCCACAACACCCTGGGAGGTAAACCTGCCTTCCCATGTGCCCAGACCTGCAGAGAGACGCTGACACTTCCGGCTGATTGCCCAAAGATGGTGATGTTGTCGGGGTCCCCCCCGAAGGCCGCAATGTTCCTCTTCACCCACGCGATGGCCATGTGCTGGTCCCAGAGGCCGTAGTTACCTGGGGCGGGTGGGGGCCCATGAGGGACTGGGGTGGGGAGAGCTTCCTCCATGTGGGGACCCCTGACAAGCCCAGGATGGTGCATGGCAGGTCCCAGGAGGCTGTGGAATGCGGTGCAGGAGGGGGTGTGGGTTCAGGCAGTGCACCAGGAGCAGGAGGGCCAGGCTGCTCATCTCTCTCCCTGACACTGGCCCTCTGCTGTCCGTCTGTTCTATGGCTCTGAGTCCGCTGAGTCACCTCCTCAGTGTGTCATCTTCTCTCTCTCCCTGGGTCCCTGTCCGTGCTCCCTGGTCTCTCTGTTTCCCTGGGTCCCTGCCTGGCTGGCGGGCAGCCTCTTCTCTCGCTACACCTGCCGATGGGCTCCTGTATCTCACTGTCCATCCCCAGCTTCCTGTGCTGCCAGGAGAATTCTGGGTCTTTCTGGGAGACTCTCAGGAGTTGTTGGGAGAAAGCGGTGGTGAAGGGCCCCCACCAGCTCCCTCACCCCGGCCCACGCCCCGGCACACCTGGCAGGTGGGCGTCCCCAGTGCTGAGGAAGCCCAGCGGCCCAAGGCGGTAGTTGAAGGTGACCACGATGACGTTGCCCCGAGTGGCGATCTCCTCCCCTTCATACTGGTAGTCACTGAAGAAGTTTAACCCTTGGCCGGATCCAAAGATGAAGGCTCCTCCAAAGACCCAGATCATGACAGGCAGGTTCTGTGAAACTGAGGCAGGAAGCAGACCCAGTGACCCCAGCTGTTCCCCCCCATCCCCTCTGGGTGCTTGTTTCAGGGATTTCATCTCTGGAGCCCACACCAAGGGGTGGGGCAGGGCTGGGCCTCTGGCTGTCTGGGCGCTTTCTGCAGGTTTGGGGACCTGGAGGGCAAGGGTTGGGGATGCACCTTCCTCCTGGCCCTGGGGGACCCAGATGTTGAGGTAGAGGCAGTCCTCGGAGCCCTCGGTGTTGTCCTGGGTGAGAGTGAGTTGCAGGCATTCCTGCTTGAAGTCCTTGGCCTTCAGGGTCCCTGTGAGTGAGCAGAGAGGCTGGCGTTGATGGGGGAAATGAGACATTTTTTGGGGGGGGCTTGCAATCTGAATCTAGTCACTGCCCCTTTAATTATCTGGTCCTGCAAGACCTGTTTACCCAAAATACTACTCCCACCTTAGAGAGGCCATAAACCATCCCCAGACGAGGTTATCAGTGCTGGCGCCAGGCCAGGCTTGAGATGTGGTCCTGGTACCCCCACCACACGGGGCTTTTTGCAAAGTCTATTAAAGGTCTGGAACTATGATCCCATTTGTGGCACAAAGAAGCCAAAGGGGTATAGAGGAAAGCATCCTCCATATTGGGGGGTGAGCCTCAGGATTTGGAGAGAAACAGACTTCCCTGAGCCGGTCCCTGTGAAATGTCTGGGAATAAATGGGTTTTCCCGGAGCCTCTGGTACTCCTGCAGGTTTTCTCAATTGCCAGGTAAATATACAACAGCACAAGGATGGTGGGCCCACCCCCATCACCACGCCAGGCACAGGGCCAACCCAGCACCAACCCCCCACTCCCACCTTGCCAGCCGGGGTGCCGCTGTGGTTTCTCCAGGGCCTGGGGTGGGGCGGCGAAGGGGATGCCCTTGAAGATGTCCACAGAGCGGCCGCCGATGCCCAGGAGGCCGAGCTTCTTGTTGACGCCCTCCACGAAGCCCCCTTCTGTGTGCACCACGCCCAGCTGGGGAGAGGGCAGGCTCAGGGCGCAGGCGGGGGGACAGCGGGGGGAGGGGATACCCCAGCAGGCTCTAGGGGTCCAGACAGCCTCCAGGTGGGGCCCCTAGTCAGGCCAGCCTGCAGCTGTGGGTTCCTGTGGAAGCCCCGCTCCTCACCCCTGGCAGGGCCCTGAGGGAAGGGGTCCTATAGGTGCCCCAGGCTCCCCACTCCCCCTGGAGGGGCCCGGCCACTGGCAAGCAGGGGGTGTCACCCCCCTCTCAGAGGCCGGGCTCTGGGCTCCGGGTTGAACTAGAAGGAGGTCCACACTCCTGGTCTGACGCTGGGGCTGTGATGGGCAAACTGGCGGCTGCTCAGGGCCCAGCGCCCTTCTGAGCCGGGCCAGGGCCATCCCAGGGCAGAGGGAGAGCCAGGGCCCTGGATGCCCAGGAAGATGCCCAGGTCAGCCCTGAGGCACAGGGACCTGGGGCTGGAGGACTCTTGTGTTGGCGGAAGTGCCCTGAGTGCCCTGGGAGCACCTGGCCCAGCCCTTCCTCGTGGTCTCTGACATTGGAGGTCATGGCGTCCTGGCTGTCAGCTGTGGGGCCATGGTGTGAGCAGGAAGGCAGGAGGCAGAGGAAGGGCCAGGGAAGCTGGGCTGGGGCTGGGCTCTGGGGGCTCTCTGTGCCAGCGCCCCACCTGCCTGCCCCTCCTCCTCAGTGCTATCCCAAGTCCCAGGCCGGGTTAGGGGAGCCGAGGACCCCTGCTGTGTCCTCTGGGCTCTCGCTTACCTTTGCTGCGCTCACTCCTGCCAAGCAGCAGGTGAGGCCTAAGACAGCCAGGTCCAGGCGCCCCATGGTGTGTGTGCGTGCTTCGGGATGATCCTGCCTCTGTGTGTGGGTATTTATGGGGTGGGAGCAATCCGGGAGACATCCGGGAACCTGGGCTGGCAGCTGCCTGTGGCTGGTTCTCCTCCTCCTCTCTCTGCCCCTTCCTCCAGGCAGTATACCTTTGGCCAGGATAGCTAATGTTCCCAGCCAGGCTCAGGGCAAAGGACATACAATTGTGGGCACACACACACACGTGCACGGGTGCTGGGATGGTTTGCTTTGCCCAGGACCTCCTGATCGGGTGCCTGGTGCCCACAGTGTGTGTGTGTGTGTACCCACAGTGCACCTGGGCCGGTCACCGGGAATAGTCAGGGGGCCAGGCCAGGGCTACAGGGACCCAGCTGGGTGCACAGGGCCCCGCATGGGGGCTCCTTTACAAGGGCCTGGGCTCCCCCAGAGAAGTGGGCCTGCTTCCCTCCAGGCCCTGCCTGGCCCCAGCTGAGCTCTGGACCTCAGCAAAGGGAGGTCATAGGGCATGGGCATGTGGCTTCCGGGACAGAGGGCTGTGTGCGCCTGGGCAGGCACCTGGTGAGCCTGGGTCCGAGGGCCCACTGGGGAGCAGTCCGAGCTGGGTGTGGGGACCCAGAGCAGCACAGGGCGGGCGACTCTGCCCTCAGGGAGGGCACACCTCCCACTCAGCACCAGCAGCCCTGGGAGGCGGGACTGGGGGCTCAGGTGGGCACAGGTGGGGGGAGGGGGCTTTTCTGAGGAAGAGGAAGTGCCTGGCTTCAGAAATGCACCGTGACCTGGGCACAGCAGAGAGACAGAGAGGGGACAGATAGAGGGAGAGACAGAAAGCGGGACAGACAGAGGGAGAGACAGAGATAATGGAGATGCAGAAAGGCTGAGTGTGAGACAGAGGGAGAGACAGACAGAGGGAGAAACAGAGGGGGAGAGAGCTGAGCAGAGTGACTGAGGGCAGAATGGTGCTTGTGGCTCGGGAAGCGTGTCTCCCTTGGGAACTAGAGGCAGCTCCAGGGACAAAGCCCAGGGGTCCTGCCTTTGTGGCGGTGGCAGCGCTGCCTTCTCCAGGGCTGGGGTGTGTTCAGGGCCCGGGGAAGCCAGAGCCCTTTCTGGAAAGGGACCCTTCGCTGCCAGGAGCCGGTGCTTGTACACAGGCCACTGCCCGGCTGACGACACGCCTGGGGCTACCCCAGCCCCACATGGACCAGCCATGCTGGCTGCCCGCTGATCCAGAGCCCAGCTCTCCGGGGATGGAATGGGGAGGCGGCAGCACATAGGGCAGCAGGAGCCGGGCAGGCCGGGCTCAGAGGCTGAGGATTGAGGAGCAAAGGGCTTGAGGGCTACGTTTATTCTATCCGTCAGTGGACAAGTGGATAAGAAAGCTGTGGTACATTTGCACATGGATTACTCAATAGCAGAAAAAAAACAAGGAACTCTTCCCGGTTGAGACAGCCGGAGGGATCTAGAGAGTACCATGCTGAGTGAAACAAGCCAGTGGGAGAAAGATAAGTATCACATGATCTCAGTCACCTGGAATCTAATGAACTGAATAAACTGACGAATAAACAGATCCATAGGCATGGACGCAGGGAACAGCAGGACAGATCTGGGAGTGAGGGTGGAGGGAGGGCGGGAAGAGATGAATCCAGAACTTACAGGCATATATTCATAGGCTATAGAGAGGGGAGAGACAGGGCTGGGGAGGGAGGTGTGTGGAAAGGGCAGAGAAGGGAAATGGCAGAAGTCTGTAATACTCTCAACAATACAAGTTCAAAGTAAAGAAAACAGCTCGGCCCGGGTGGCTCAGCAGGTTGAGCATCTTCCCTGCACCAACAGGTCACCCTTTCCATTCCCAATCCTGCACATGGAGCCTCCGTCCCCAGTGAGGGTGTGCAGGAGGCAGCCAATCCATGTAATTATCAGATCCGTGTCCTGCTCTCTCCCTCCCTCTCTAAAATGAAAAGCAATAATAAAGAATGTTTAGAATAGGCAAACTGCCTGGGGCAGGAGGCTGAACAGCATAGCAGCAGTTGGGGAGGGGAGATCCTGAGGAGCGCATACACAGCTTCTGTGTGGAGGGTGCAATGATTGGGACCCAGAGGGTGGTGATGGTTCCACAACAGTGTCGCTGCAATCAATATCACTGAATGGAGCTCATGCATCGTTAAACTATCGTGTTTTATGTGATTCAAATTTTACCCCGATTTTTAAAAACAGTTGCAAGGACCAATTCCTGACCAGGACGGGGCTGCCTTCCTTTGGAGGAAGAGGGGAGTGTGGCTGGGCGTGTGGTTTCTGCTGCCCAGGAGGAGGAATTCCTGGATTTCAAGTTCAGACGGGAACCCACCAGCACTAAGGGGGGGATTGTGGGCAGATCAGAGCCTGCCACTGGGAAGGCCAGGCGGATGCACTGGCCAGTGGCCTCTGTGCGGGGACTTCCCATCCTGGCCGCCAGGGGCCGCCCCTTCCATTCCCAATTGGAACCCTCAGGCAACCCTGTCCTGGGAAGGCCTTTCTGGCGGCTTTGTGTCTGTAGAAGTTTGGAGAGCGGCTA